CTCTCCTGTGTTAATCCATTCCAAGTCTTGGTTAGACGAGCGTTTTGTGCGTGAGAGTGACCTGAAGTCGAAGCAGGTAGTCCACGGTGCAGATGATGACGTTGATGGTGGTGGTGCTGCCCGTCTGAGTCCGCAGGTAGTTCTGAAAATCTGAGCACAGACACCAGGGACCAGTTACTCTTCAAAGTGAAACAGAACCTGTCCAGAACACGCAGCGCCTCCGTTTGGAGAGGAGACACTTCCATCAGCAGGAGTTGAAGGCCTTCTAATTAAAGCCGACATCTCTTTGGAGAGGAGAACCGACGGTTCGGTTCGTCACCGGCTCACCGTTGTTGTGGCCTTCACACAGGAGCTGCAGGAAGCGGAAGAGGTCGCAGGTGAATTCATCGTCTGCCATCACTTTCTCATCTGAGCAGAAGAAGAAACAGGCGTGAGTCCGTCAGGCGGCTTCTCTGCACGTCACGAGTGAACGCTGTTCTGTTAGAGTTCAGGACAGCAGGTTTAGATGTTTCAGTTGATCTTCTGCTTCAACATTTCTGTTCTACCTGCCTTTATCCTGAAGAAATAGTAAATAATACTACTACTTCAAATAGTACTTTCATATATTAAGTTCTAAACAAAGGCAGTTAAAGGGAAGCTGGAAATTTTTCTGCACTTGCTCTCGCACAAGGCGGACACCTTTTCTCTCCCCCCCTAGTTCTCCTCTTCCTCCTGCTTCTTTGCTCCGTCTGTGTCTCGGAGCTCCCGGTACACATCTTCCCAACAAAAAATACCATTATGGATCTGGTGAGCTGGACTTTCAACGTAATCGACAAAATCTTTTCAACAAAGCGACAGGGTCCTGGAGAGCCTTTAGTTTTAAAGTTCTGCTTTTGGACATGGAGCAGGATAAATCTGGAAACTGGACAAAATTCTGCGGTGAATCAATTTCAGAGGAATTAGTTTACAGAAACTGTTTATCAATAAAACTATAAGAAGTAAACTGGCACGGGTTTCTTAAAAAATGATCAAATCTGATGGTTAAATGTGAGATTGTTTCACTTCATCCAGTTTCTTTTTATACAAAGAGTGCAGCGGTGGTGTCTCGCTGGTCTGAGAACGTTAGAGACGAGTCAGGGACTCGAACTTATTACGAGAAAAGGAACAGATTTTCAGTTGCGGTCTCGCTGGAGTGTTTCAACCGTGACCAGCAAGCCGTGCGGACACACTTTGAGCTACACGCTTTGAAAAATTGTACAAATGTGTCCACCTCGGCTCGCCTGGTTCCCACCGCAGCAGCCACCCCTTCCTTTATGAGTTACTGGAGTTGGAAATGAAGACGGGTCAATTTGAACTTTATTTTAATAACGTTTGATTTTTAGACCTGGACCTGTTTTCACTCCTGAGACATGTTGGAGACGTCATGTAGCACAAATTTCCTGGATGTGTTTAAAATTCAAGCGGGCCGGCGACTCACAAAACTGTTCAGCACAAAACTGTTCAGCAGCTAGATGTCAGCAGTCACCCCAGTGAGGTACCTCCAAAAACTGTTAATACAGGAAGGACACGGAACAGGAAGTCAAAGCTGGAACAGGACCAGCTATCCTGTTGGCTGCTTACCGTGCAAGGTTCAAGTCCCGCCCCCTCCATGTAAACAAATAACCTTTTAAGACTTTTGTTGATTTATGTACATATCTTGCTGCTTATCTTCAGATGTTTATGTTTCTGGAACTAGGTTTTTCTATGCTCAAAATAAAGGTGCTGTGACACCATGATAGGGGAGTAGGCGGGGCTTAAAGCCCCCCATTGTTACTGCACAGACTCTGGTTCCATAAGAACAACATTGCAGCTTCTGCAAAACGGTTCCTGCTGGTTTTAATGTCACATGTGAACGAGTATAATATGTCAAGAGATAATATTCTTTAAAAACAAATTATAATTGGTAAAATGAATAACTTTGGGTTTTATTTTACTATTAAGATCAAGTAAAATTCCTGCCGGTTGCTTTTGTTAAAGCGTGTTAGTGAAAACCACAAAACTAAAGTTTATCAGAGCAACAAACAAACACACAAACAAAAACAAACAGTGGTCACATCAATGTGAAATGAAAATACAAGAAACCAGGAGAAAACATGGAGAACAGACCCTAGGACAGATAGACAGGCAAACCAACAGGCAGGCAAACAGGCAGACAGACATGGAGAACAGACAGTCAGACAGACAGGCAGGCAGACAGACAGAGAGCAGATCTACTGCACTCTTCAAACTCGTTTATCTGAACCTGCTGCAGATCTCTCTTAGATAATAACTTTATGTAGCTGACTAAAGTGAATTTTAAATATTCAGAATTCTTTAATTATGAAGTCAGAACTCCAAAACAAAGTTGTGCTTCTATTTTTTATTTTATTTTTTTACAAAAAAAGCCAAAAGATGCTCCTGAGTAGTTCGTTTAACTTCATCACAATGTTCTTTATGGAGAAAATCAACCTGAGATGGTTGGAGTTACAGTAGATCTGAGATTAACACACTCAAAGATGCAAACCAACTCTGCAATCACTTCAGAAGGGAATAAATGCAGAGATACAGCGCAGCAGTGAGATGTGACGGTAAAGCTCTGTTTGAGCTCATCGCTGAGCGTGAAATGAATTGTTTAATATCACAGCAAGGAGAAGACAAGTCTGAGATTAAGCAGACAGGGAGGACAGAGAGAGAGGGAGGGGAATCACACGAGAGGTTCATTTACCACGTTCTAGCTTCTTATCTGAGAACAGCAATTTGACGTGGAGGAAGGACACGAGCATGAGACGGAACAAGGTCGACAAGCGAACAAGATGGAGAGGAGAGAAAAACAAAGAGGGAAGAAGTGAGTCCAGAGGTCTCGATGCTGTCAGCCGACCACATCAACAGTTTGTACAAAAACTAGAAAAACTGGAATTGTGAAAAAGTTGGGACGCTGTGTCAAATGTGGACAAAAACAAAACGCAGAAGTTTGTAAATCTCAGAAACAAACACTTTGATGATGTGTAAGTGAGGTTGAAG